CAGGTGCCTGCCACCACCGGCCCGGTTAATTTTTGTATTTTTAGTATAGACCAGGAGTTTCACATATTATGGAATGAGAGTCTTGATCTCTCTTGACCTTGTGATCTGTTCACCTAGGCCTCCCAAAGTGCTGGGATTACAGGCGTGAGCCACCGCACCTGGCCAACATTTTTTTTTTAGAATATAAAGGTCTTGATACAACTAAATTTTGAAATAGCCTGGTAAGACTCACTCTATTCAATTAAAAAAAGGTAAAATATCTTATACAACATGAAAAAGAAAAATATAGTAGAGGAGCCAGGCACAGTGGCTCACGCCTGTAATCCCAGCACTTTGGGGCCGGTGGAAGTGGATCCACAAGGTCAGGAGATTGAGACTATCCTGGCTAACATGGTGAAACTCTGTCCCTACTAAAAATACAAAAAATTATCCGGGCGTGGTGGTGGCGCCTGCATGGTCCCAGCGACTCCTGAGGCTGAAAGGGCCGGAGGAATGGCGTGAACCCAGGAGGCGGGCTTGCAGTGAGCTGAGATTGTGCCTGCCTCCAACCTGGCCGGCAGAGGTAAGACTCCGTCTCCAAAAAAAAAAAATGGTGGAGGAGAAAGAAAGGAAATAAATTTAAGAGCGGGAGAAAAAAAAGTAGGAAGAATAAAGACAGACATGGAAAATGGAAAATGAAGAGAGAAAAGTAAATTTGAGTGGAAGTAAAGAAAACAACTATTTAATCAGAATAAAATACTCTGTGTATTATCACTGCCTTTTAAAACTAGTAATTTGAGGCTGGGCGCAGTGGCTCACACCACTGTAATCCCCGCTTTGGGAGGCTTGAGTGGGCAGATCCCACAAGGTCAGGAGATCGAGACCATCTGGCTAACATGGTAAACCCCTTATACTACTAAAATACAGAGAAAATTGGCTGGGCATGGTGGCGGGTGCCTGTAGTCCCAGCTACTCAGGAGGCTGAGGCGGAGATGGCATGAGCCCGGGAGGCGGAGCTTGCAGTGACTGAGACTGCACCACTGCACTCGGCCTGAAGCGACAGAGCGAGACTCAAATCTCAAAAATAAAATAAATAAAATCGTAATTTGCCACTGGGCGTAGTGGCTCACGCCCCTGTGTCCCAGCACTTTGGAGAAGCCAAGGCGGGTGGATCACGCCGTCAGGAGTTCGAAGACCAGCCTGGCCAGCATGAAGTGAAACTCCATCTCTACTAAAAATACAAAACTTAGCCAGGCATGATGGTGCGTGCCTGTAGTTCCAACTACTTGGGAGGAGAGGCAAGAGAATTGCTTGAACCCAGGAAGGGAAGGTTGCAGTGAGCCGTGATTGCACCACTGTACTCGGCAGGCGGCTCCAGCCAGCTCATCCACCCCCTCCTAGTACAATTCCCTCCCTCTAATGTCGTTTTTCAACACAACCATACTTTTTTTTTTTCTGTTTACTATGAGACATAGTCTTGCTCTGTCTCCCAGGCTGGAGTCCAGTGGCCCAATCTTGGCTTAATGCAACCTCTGTCTCCCCGGTTCAAGTGATTCTCCTGCCTCAGCATCCCAAATGGCTAGGATTACAGACACCACCACGCTCCAGCTAATTTTTGTATTTTTAGTAGAACAGGGTTTACCATGTTGCCCAAGGTTAGTCTCAGCTCCTGACCCAAGTGATCCACCCGCCTCCCAGTCTCCCAAAGTGCCAGGATCAGGCATGAAGCCACCATGCCAATCTTTAAATTTATTCTTTTTTTTTTTTTTTTTTTTGAGAGAATCTCACTCTGTTGTCAGGCTGGAGTGCAGTGGTGCAATCTCGGCTCACTGCAACCTTCCAGTCTGGCTCAATTCTCCTGCCTCAGCCACTGTGCTGGGATTGGGCGCCTGCATATGCCTGGCTAATTTTTGTGTTACAGTTTTATTTTTAGATGGGGTTTCACCGTGTCCAGCTAGGCTGGTCTTGAACTCCTGACCTCAGGTAATCCGCCTGCAGCCCAGGTGCTGGGATTACAGCGTGGCGCCACTGCGTCACCAGGCAACTTTTTTTTTTTTTTTTGAGGTGGGAGTCTCCTCTGTTACCCAGGATGGAGTGCAATGGCACAATCTCGCTCCTGGGTTCAAGCGATTCTCTCGCCTCAGCTTCCCAAGTAGCTGGGATTACAGGCACCTGCCACCACTCCTGGCTAATTTTTTTTGAATTTTTAGAAGACACGGGGTTTCAGCATGCTGGCCAGGCTGGTCTCGAACTCCTGACCTGAGTGGTCCTCCTGCCTCGGCCTCCCAAAGTGTTGGGATTACAGGCGTGCGCCACCACGCCTGGCGTTAACACATTCCTAACCTCTGAGAGTTACTGAAGAGGAAAAACTGTCTTCCAGAGCATGACAAAGGTGGAGAGGTTTTCATCTAGTTAAAAAAGGGGAGAAAAATTATCTCTCTAAAAGTAGGTACTTGAGCAAAATGAGAAAGCAAAGACTGTAACTGAAGAACATAGTCTTTATAGACAAAGCTTAAAGTCCATATAGGGAACAGTGGAAAATACTATTGGAAGGCCTTGAATAGCAGGCTAAGGACTTAGGCACATCATTCAGTAGAGTAGTGAGATTTACTGTCAAAGGAAACACCAGTGTGGTATGGAGGAAAATTTTCTAGTCCTACTTTCAGAAGACTGGAATTATTGTGCCAGTGTAATGCTTGGCAGTTATACCTAAACAGTTTATTCTAAAACAGAGGTAATCAGGCAGTTGTGAGGGTTAGGGTGATGGCTGTAGGATTAAAAGAGGGGCAATTTTTTTTTTCTTTCTTTTCTTTCTTTTTTTTATACAGAGTTTCACTCTGTTGCCCAGGCTGCAGTGCTATGGCAGGATCTCGGCTCACCACAACCTCTGCCTCCCCGGTTCAAGCGGTTCTCCTGCCTCAGCCTCCCAAGGAGCTGGGATTAGAGGCATGTGCCACCATGCCCGGCTAATTTTGTATTTTTACTAGAGATAGGGATTTCTCCATGTTAGTCAGGCTGGTCTCAAACTGCGGACCTGAGGTGGCGTCACCGCCAGCCTCCCAAAGTGCTGGAGATTACAGGCGCAGGCTCAACGCGCCCGGTCAAAGAGGGCAATTATTATTATTATTATTATTTTTGAAACAGAGTCTCACTCTGTTGCCCAGGCTGGAGTGCACTGGTGCTATCTTGGCTCACTGCAACCTCCGCCTCCCAGGTTCAAGCGATTCTCCTGCCTCAGCCTTCTGAGTAGCTGTGATTACAGGCGCGTGCCACCACGCCAGGCTAATTTCTGTATTTTTTTTTTTTTAGAGCGGGGTTTCACCATGTTGGTCAGAGTCTTCCAGACTCCTGACCTCAGCTAATCGCCTGCCTTGGCCTCCCAAAATGCTGAGATTACAGGCTTGAGCACGGCATGGGCAACTGCTGCTGTTTTAGACAATAGTTGATGGAAAGTTAGAGGCCTACACAATAGAGCTTTTGTTCTATTTTGAAGTGATCCTGGAAAGTTCTTTGGGCAGGGAATTTGTGTGAATGTACAAACATATATATAAACTGAGTAGCTGCCTGGCAGCCTTATCTTAGGTTTTGTCCCGTATATATTCTACCTTTATTTTTTTTTCTTTTTTCTTTCTGCATGTATGTATATTTTCTCAAGGCGTCTCTGCCCTGCACACAGACTTGGCTTGCCTTTCAGGCCAACTTCAGAGGATGCTTTAGCAGTTTTCCCTCTGGATGCTTAAGCAGACACTGCAACCATGAATCGGCACTGCAGCAGAAAGGCAGAGTCACTTGGGCCCTTGATAAGCAGGGCGGATTAAGTAACCTTATAATTTAACCCTCTAGTTAGCCTTGGAGGACTCAGGTATCGCACTTCCCACCAGACTCTAATAAAAAGCAGGCCGAGTTGTGTGCAATTAAGGATTTCAGGATGCAAATCTGAATCTGTAGTTTTGTCTCCTCCACCCCCATCCCGTTATTAGATTGGCAATGTCTTTTGTGCAATTGTCAAAATGTTCTCAGAGGGGCGATTGTCTAGATACCGCCGATTTCTCTAGTTAAAGTGAAGCAGAGGTGATCCAGCATTAATTAAATGCAGGAGAATCAGATTCTCCCTGATAGTTTAAGGAAAGGAAAAATTCCACACGAGCAAACAGGCAACCATTTGAATGTTTTCCGACGACATGGTGCTTTAGGATCTGAAAGATGCGACTTGTTTCATTTGTTTGTTTTGAAATTTCCGCTCTTGCTGCCCGGGCTGGAGTGCAATGGCAGGATCTCAGCTTGCCCCAGCCTCCGCCTCCCAGGTTCAAGCGGTCTCCTGCCTCAGCCTCTCCGAGCAGCTGGCTCAAGTTGCAGGCACGCGCCACCGCGCCCGGCTAATTTGTATTTTTAGTAGAGACAGGGTTTCACCATGTTGGTCAGGTTGGTCTCGAACTCCGGCTTCAGGTGATCCGCCAGCTCGACCTCCCAAAGTGCTGGGATTACAGACGTGAGCCACCGCACCCAACCAGCTTATTTTATTTAAAGGTTCCTTATTTCGTTGCACAGGACGTTCGGACGCAGTCTAACTACATTTCCATCCGGAGTAAGGAGAGCCACTCAGGAGGCAGTCACAAGAAAGGCCGCAGGTGCTGTGGCTCTTCCACCCGCAGTGCTGGAATTCTCTCAAGTAGAGCCAAAGGAATGAAGCTCTCGATGAGCTACTACTTTTTTTTGAGCCCAGTGGCCAGGCGCAGAGATGAGCTAGGGCTATGGCCTTTTGCATTTTCAGGCACTGGCAGGCCAGCCCCAGCCTACATAGAAAATTTCCATATCCCATGCTTAAGTAAGCCTCCCGGGATAGCGTTCTTCTTAACCTACATCATTTTCTTTGGGGATGTGTGGGGCATGGGTGACAGAGCATTTAGGTCATGTAGTTTGGATCGGGAGTGTCGAGCTGACTTAGCGGGTTCCCTCACTATCCGCGGCTATCACCCCACTGGGCCCGGACCCCCTGCACCCAGGTTCCGGGGCCAGCCGCCATGACGAACAGTGAGAACCGATACCTGAGGAAGGGTAGAATGAGACAGAAGAGAAAACGTAGCGGGCAGGGCCGGGACGGCACCCGTGGCCATTCTCCCGCCCCCTCTCGGCCCAGCCCCCTTAGCCTCTCGGCGCCCCCTAACTTCTGTACCCTATCCTCCTCCATGGAGTTCCCCTTTCCCATATTCATTTAGGACCTCCAGTGCCTCTTATGCTCATACGTCGAGTTATTATCTCTATCCCTTTTACTTTTCCCTTTTCTTTTCTTGGATTCTTTCTGGCCCTTGGAGGTCAGTCCCAGAGGTACTGCTGCTATTTGGGCCCGGGAAGAGAGAGAGGCTCCTTCCTCCCAGCCCCCTGCGTTCTCATACTTTCGGACCGTAGTTTTGTGGAAGGGGCCTATAAATCACATAGAATATCAAGTCTCACAGTTTTGGGGGTGCTGATGAATGTAGACCCCACAAAAGATTCTTGTTATGGAGAAATGCTGGAAAGATTTTTGATTTTAGAAGCCCTGTGAGACGATCTCACGTGGAGACCCTGACTGGTGTTGAAAGGGGTGGATTTAGACATTGCCTCTTCTAGATGATGAGGCAGTTGTCACCCTGTTTATCTGACCTCATTTTCCAGGCCTCTTCAAAAACTTTATAGATATGAGATTCCCCTAAATTCAGAGGAGGACAGGATGGAGAGGTGCCCCATGATTTTAGCGTCAACCTTACAGGGAAAAGGAGAAAGCCTTTTAGGCATTACGATGATTTGAGGGCTCAGAAGCATTTCTCAAAAGCACTTTGTCCATAGCCCTGGCATTGAAGACTCGAATTTAACCTCCTTGTGAATTTTGCCATTGTCTGCAGAGAGCTTATGAGGAGAAAGGGTAGCACGTAAGGTATAGTTCCTCAGAAAACCTTAGTGTATGTGTTGATTTACTGGACCCTTTGTAGTGACAGCCAGCTGTAGAGACAGTTTTACTGGAGGGAGAGGTAGATAGTGTGAGTTAGAACGGCAGACACTGTTTTATATAGAATATTCATTTGGAGCTTTCTGGGAAGTCAGAGGTCTCAGGATACTAGGCACAGTAAGAAAGGGACATTGGCAGAGGAAGACAGAATCTGAACCAGGAAGTAAGACGGCAGTTTGACACATTAATTGCTGAATAAATTTTAGTCATTTTTCCCCATTTTGTGGTCCAGTATCTTCTCGTTTTTTGCAATTAGGTGATTCATTATGATTACCTGTACAAGAAATGAGCTTGGTTTATATATTTAAGAAACAAAGCTGAAGTTGGAAGCTTTCTATGTTGAAGCCTTAGATACTTTTCTTTGTTTTAGAAAAATCTGTTATTATTCTAGCAGGGAAATTCGGTTTGTTAGAATATCATGCATAAAGTGTAAGATACTGATAGGAAAATTGTAGTTATGTTGATTCTTACTCTTGTAATTTTCATTAAGCTTTGCTTGCCCCCAGCCTTAACGTATTCTTCACCCAACAGTTGCACATCTGACAGATTTGGCTACATATCTAGCTCTCCTTTATCATATGATTGATTTATAACAAGAACATGTTAAATTCTCTGTGCTGAGTCTCTAAGGATTCGTATGTCTCAATCTATTGCCAACGCTAGTCATTCTTGGGATGCTAATTTCTGCCCAGGATTTCTACTTCTTGAGAGGTGAGGGGAGGGATCAGTGACATTTTAGTAAAGAGGATGTAAAAAAAAAATTTATTTTTTTTTTTGCGTTGAGAGTCTCACTGTGTTGCTCAGGCTAAAGTGCAGTGGCATGATCGTAGTTCATTGCAGCCTCGACTGCGATGGGCTCAATGGACCTCCGTCCTCCTACAAGCAATTTTTGGGAACAGTAAACTAATGTGACTTAGTCCCAGGATCCTGGCTCCCTCTTGTCAAGTGTTGGTACTGCCTATTGGGGTTATTATTTTGTTATTATATCACATACTATCTTCCTTAGAATTCTCCAGGCGGGATCACGGTCCCACGTAGATCAGTACCTAAGGTTTCTTTTCTTTTTGTTGTAGTGTACTCCTTGGATGGGATTCACCGGTGTTTGGTTTGCTCTTTGTTTGCACCTGTGCCTACTTCAAGAAAGTACCTGCGTCCTCAAAGGAAACCTGGCTGCTATCAGAGAAGAAGGGTGTTTTGGGGTGTGTTTGCAAGGTGAGGCCCTGTCTGGACAGGAGAAGAGACTACCATCTCCTGGACAGTGTGGAGCTACAAGTAGGGAGTGCAGTGAGCTGGGACTGTATTTGGTTTCATTTTTAGAAAACCCCTCAGATTGGAGTCTGAGTCTGTAAAATCAATCATTCTCAAAGTTGAGGGAAGAGATAAATGTTAAATTTGCTGAGTGTGGTGGCTCATGCCTATAATCCCAGCACTTTGGGAGCCAGGGGCGGGAGGAGTTGCTTGTGTCCAGGAGTTGTAGATCAGCCTGGGCAACATGGTAAGGACCCCATTTCTACAAAATGTACAAAATTAGCCAGGTATGGTGGCACGTGCCTGTAGTCCCAGCTACTCAGGAGACTGAGGTGGGAGGATTGCTTGAGCCTAGGAGGTTGAGGCTGCGGTGAGCTATGCCGTGGAGCCCACTGCACTCCAGCCCAGGTGAGAAGGAGTGAGACCCTGTCTTAAAAAAAAAAAAAAAAATTAAAATTAAATGTTATTGAAAAACATAATTGTCTATTTTAGCATCCAGATGATTTTTGTATTCTCCGTGGAGTAGAAAGTATACATCAAACCATTTTGGGCTGGGGTGGGTTACCTCCTTAGTGGAAGATTTTTCACAATACTGCAGTGCTTGTCAAGAGTGCTCAGGGTCTCTTAAGGTTTAATTTAATTATTTCAGTCTTTGAAGTGTTATTTGGGCATTTCATTTAAGTCTATCATCAATTTTTTTTGAAAGATAAAATAAACGACAGTATATTCTTTAAGACCTAAAACACAGGTATGTTTAACATCCACCATTCCACGGGGTGCTTGCTCCACATCCAAGCTATTTGTGGAGAGGCAAGGCACGGCTTGTAGGATCTTTGGACCAGGTTGGGCAGCTTTGGTAACATAGTAAACCAATCTCTACTAAAATAAATTAGCCTAGAAGCCAGGCAGTGGTGCCATGCATAAATTCCTAGTATTTGGGGAAGCCAAAGGTAGGTGGATCACCTGGCCGGTGGAGTTCAAGACCAGCCTGGCCAAGATAGTGAAACCCGTCTCTACTAAAAAAATACAAAAATTAGCTGGAGCATGGTGGCGAAGCCTGTAATCTCAGCTACTCAGGAGGCTGAGGCAGGAGGTGCTTGAACCCGTGCGACAGAGGTTACAGTGAGCCGAGATTGTGCCACTGCACTTAGCCTGGGCGACAGGTGAGACTGCCTCAAAATAAAGCTCGAAACATCCAGGTCCTTGAGGAGCATTGATATGTCTGTCTGTGACTAGGACTTTAGGAGATATCACCTTGAAAGTGAGGACTTATATGAAGGGCAGGGTGTGATTTCTTCTCTCTTTTGCCTGCTAGCCGCTGTGATTGGAACCAGGCTGCATGCTGCTGTGGCAATTGCTTGTGTTATGGCAATGGCCTTTTACGTCCTGTTTATAAAGATGAATTCCAGTATCCAGTCATCGGCACAGCCAAGAGGACAGGGGATAAGAACCTGTTGAGAACCTGGACTCCGTGTAGGAGGATTCACAGCTGAAATCATCAGTCCCCCAGAATGACACCACAGCATCCAGCCCTGCACTATATGTAGGAAAACTCATGGACCACGAACATTATGTATGCTTCAGGGGGACTACAGAAGCCAGCTTCCTTTGATCTGTGTGTAAATCAGTCCTTGGCAGAGTGCATATGATGTCCAGATAAGTGCACCCCTCATTGATAAGATTACATATCCTTCATAAAAACCTGCCATCTTGTTTTGTTCTTCAGCTCCTCATCAGGATCTTTTCAAACAGGCTCGTTAGGGAAGGAACTAGGCTGTGTTCAGACCTCTTTTGAAGACAGAATTTTCAAGACGACTTTTCACTCTTTGATTTGGATCTGGCAAATTGGGAGGATGCTGGGTGGGAAACAGTTATGAAATGCCAAGATATTCTTTGGCTTTGAAATTCATTTTCATGTGCCCATCTGGAAACATAAAGAGAGGCATAAGTGCTCACTGCAAGAGAGAACAGATGAGTAGCTGTGTTATGTGCTAGTATCTTGAGTTTTGCCAAGAAAATCTGGAGCCTACATAAAATTTAGGAATTATCTGTGTGATGAGACCAGAAGCAGTGGCTTAGACAGAAAAAAATTTTTCTGTTCACCGAGTATCCTCAAATGGAGACTTCACTTGATCCGGATGGTATATGAAAAATGAATCAGCATTGCTATTTCTTAAAACCTTTTTATATTTTTCTAAATTACTTGAGTGCTAAGCTGTTGCTCAGTTTTAAAATGCCACAACTAAGGAAAAGAAACTATTGAAAAATTATTTAATATATTTACAGTTGGGAGTAGAAAGAAATCTAGTATATTGATTCATATACTAGTAAATTTGTCTAGTATAAGAACTTGTGATGTCAGATTGAAGTTTTGTCATCTTATAAAAAGACAACAAAACTTATTTTGTGTTTAAGTCTGAGTTGTTATGGCAATTTTTAGTTGATTACTTATTTTTCTTAGCCAACTCTTAATTTTCTTCATATTGCATTGCTCTTTGGTTGTCTCTGGAAATTCTACTTACTTTAAGGACATTAGAAATTCAAATGGGGAAGTTGCTGATATTCATCAGTGTGTTTCCACCGTGCATAGGATCCACAAGTCAAATGAAGGAAGGTGTTTCCTGAAGTGAGAAGAAACAGACCTTTGCAACTGATACTGAAGTATTTTGCCATAGGTTAGTAACTCCTGAGCAGACCATTTAGATGGCTCAGCATTTGACAGGAAGACTTCTCCATTCCCTCCTTATATCTACAGAAGGATCAGCTGTTGGATATCTAGAACTTCTCTATTTGAAAAAAGAAGTAGGTTTAAATTAAATTATTATAAGCAAGCACTTGGGCATGGATCTTTGGTTGAATTGTCCATGATCGTACCCCGCTCCATCAACTCCATCCTCTCATTAGATCTCGCACTCAGCTCTCTATCTACCCTCCATCTCCACTTCTACTAAATTTAGATTTCAAGCTCAGCAGTTAATACTTTGAGGTTTCCTAGAAATACAGAAAGTTATCAAGTAAACACTACATGTCTAATCATCTCAGAGTTGTGGCTGTTGCCCTCTTCAGGGTGGTCCACAGGGTAAATTTCCAACAATTCATATATTTTTTTCCATTGTCATTTCTGAAGACCTTTGAGATGGGGAAAAGGAAATCTAGTGGAACAGGAAAAAGTTACACCTTGTAGGTGGGTTACCCAGGACCTGTTGGCCAAAGGGAATATCACTCCCTGGAAACAGAGGTCAGCATGTTGCACTTATTGTTATTTTGTAAGCTTTAATGATTTTGTTTTCTAATGTCTCTAAGCTTAGTGTTTAGAGCTGCTTCATATTTTAAACCGTTCCATTCCCAGTACTAGTTCAAACCAGTTCTTACAGCCTCCTGGGTGGGTCATCTTGACCTAAATTCTTGTGTTGTCACATTTAGAGATGTTTTCACAGCAGAATGTACGAAAAAGTGCACCAAGGTAAGGTAATTTACAGCAAGAAACAAATACACATTTATTTCATTTCTTAAACTTTCCCTAAGCAGATAAGCAGAAACTTGTTTAACTCATTACTTTATTTGATATATCTTGCATATTTTGACTAAAAGTTATGAGGAAGTTATTCCTCTGGGGAATCTTTTGCAAGGTGGAAGAATGGGGATAGCAGTATAGCCTCAGATTCAAACTGGCATCACCCTAAACCCTGTAGGTCAGGGTGGAATGAAGTCAGCTCCTTTTTATAGTTGAAATACAAATTTTTATTCTACATTGTCTGCAGAAATCCTTGAAAATAAAACGTTTTTCCCTACAATCTTTGTCAATTTATTTTATCACATGCTGAATTTATTGAAATTTGTTCAATACTCCTGAGTTCAGTTCATCGCCTACCTTTTTAGTTCACATTGGTAGAATACCATCATTCTATTATCCCATTGTGACAGCACTGAATATATTATACTCTGCGTTCAGAATCTGGCCGGGCGCAGTGAGCTCAACGCCTGTAATCCCAGCACTTTGGGAGGACAAGGCAGGAGGATCGCTTGAGCCTAGGAGTTCAAGACAGACTGGAGGCAACATAGTAGAATCTCTGTATCTACAAAAAAATTTTAAAAATAGCCAGAGTGTGGCCTGGTGTGGTGGCTCACGCCTGTAATCCCAGCACTTTGGGAGGCTGAGGCTGATGGATCATGAGGTCAGGAGATCGACACCCATCCTGGCTAACCACGGTGAAAATGCGTCTCTACTAAAACTACAAAAAAATTTTCTGGGCGGGTGGCATGCACCTATGTCCCAGCTACTCAGGAGAAACTGAGATGGGAGAATGGCTTGATCTGGGAAACCCAGAGGTTGCCAGTCAGCCCAGATGGTACCTCTGCACTCCAGCCTGAACCCTGAGCGAGACTCTGTCTCAAAGAAAAAAAAAAAAAAGAAAAGAAAGTAGCCAGATGTTACCTTATCCCAGCAACTTGGGAGGCTGAGATGGGAGGATCAATTGAGCCCAGGAGGTTGAGGCTGCAGTGAGCTGTGATCGTACCACTGCACTCCAGCATGGGCGACAGAGCAAGACCCTGTCTCAAACAAATAAGTAAGTAAATACATACATACATACATACATACATACATACATACATATGTACTCTATTCCTCACCTTTCCCTTTGGTAAAATATTTGCCTTCTCCCTAGGGAGAAGGAGCTACTAAGGAAGCTGATGCTCCCCATGGTAACGACCAGGGATTGCTGTCTTCTTGGAAAAGAAGTCACTCACCTATAAATACCCTGAAGTTGAATCATGTTAAAATTTAAGGGCTGGGTAGCCAGTGGCTAATGCCTGTAATCCCAGCACTTTAGGAGGCCAAGGCAGGCGGATCACCTGAGGTCAGGAGTTTGAGACCAGCCTGACCAACATGGAGAAACCACAACTCTACTAAAAATAAAAAATTAGCTGGAAGTGGTGGCACATGCCTGTAATTTCAGCTACTTGGGAGGCTGAGGCAGGAGAATTGCTTGAACCCAGGAGGTGGAGGTTGTGGTGAACTGAGATCACGCCATGAGTACTCAGCCTGGGTAACAAGTGAAACTCTGCACCTCAAAAAAAGAAAAAGAAAAAAAAAAAAAAAAAAAAAAAAAAAAGAGTTAAGGCCAGTCGTGGTGGCTCCACACCTGTAATCCCAGCACTTTGGGAGGCTGAGGCTGGCGGATCACTTGAGGTCAAGAGTTCAGGTTAACCTGGCCCACACAGTGAAACCCCATCTCTACTAAAACAATTTGCAGGTGTAGTAGTGGGCATCTGAAATCCCAGCTACTTGGGAGGCTGAGGCAGGAGAATCGCTTGAACCCAGGGAGTGGAGGTTGCAGTGAACTGAGATCATGAGTCCTCCCACCCTGGTGACAGAGCTAGACTCCATCTACAAAAAACAGAAAGAAATTGGCCTGGGCGCATTGGCTCAGGCCTGTAATCCCAGCACTTTGGGAGGCCAAGGCGGGGGGATCATGAGGTCAGCAGTTCGAGACCAGCGTAGCCAGCATGGTGAAACCTCATCTCTACTAAAAATACAAAAATTAGCCAGGCATGGTGGTGGACACCTATAATCCCAGCTACTCCGGAAACTGAAGCAGGAGAATTGCTTGAACCCGGGAGGCGGAGGTTGCAGTAAGCCAAGATGGTCATTTGCACTCCAGCCTGGGCAACAAAGCGAGACTCCATGTAAGAAAAAGAAAAAAGAAAAGTAAGAAAAGAAGAAGGAAGGAAGAAGAAAGAAATTGAAGACAAAAGATCACAGAAAAACCAAAGATATGGCTATAAATGTAGTTATACAAGGTCAAAAGGAGTAGGTGTGGTGGCACTCTCCTGTGGTCCCAGCTACTCAGGTGGCTGGGTGGGAGGATCCGCAAGCTGGGCAATGGGCCAAGTATTCGCGCCACTGCACTCTAGACTGGGCGACAGAATGAGAACTGGTCTCAAAAAAAAAAAAAAAGAACCAGGATTCTGTACTTATGGTGGGAAATTAGTACCGCCTTTTCCCGGGACCTATGTTCCCCTCCGAAGCCACCTGAAAATAACAACAACACCTCTAAAGTACCCAGTTCTTCAGGACCTGTCCGCCGGTGCTCAGTGGATTTCTCAGAATCCTCAAAGGCGCAGGAGGTAAGAGAGGCTTAAAAGAAAGCCGCAGATTGGGAAATTAGAGGAGCGCACTTCCGCTGTTTAGGGAGGAGAGCAACCTAGAAGAAATTATGTCTGGAAAACTATGTCTCCTGTCAGAAGCCTGTGCAAACTGAAATGTAAATGGGCACTTGTAAGTATGTAAGTATACATACTTTGGGACGTGTTAGACGGGTTGGTGGGAAGAGAGGAGCTAGTTGTGGGATCAGGCATTTTGGCCACTTGATCAGGCCCGAGGTAACTCTCCTCCTGCGAGCCTCCTCGAGGCGCTGTAGAAGGCCCCTTAGGCAGCAACCTTCCAGTCCCCAGAAATCCTAGAGCTAGCCCCTGCAAGCCCAGCCTCAGAAGTGATGAATTGATCAGATAGACGAGGCCGGGCTTGTCGAGCGAGTGATTATCCGAGAGCGATTCTGATCTGAGCCACAGCCACCGGAGCGCAGGCTGCGGGCTGCCAGTGGCGTAGCGGCGAGCACGGGAACGGCCGGCGGCGGGTGGGGACGCTGAGCGCGGTGGCCAGGGTAAATAAGCGCCGCCCCTCCCACCGGGAGCTGGAAGGTCGCAGAGGCCTTGTTCGCCATGGTTTATTTTCCAACCACTTTCCCATTTCTCCTTGTTTTTCTTTTTTTTCTTTTGCTCCTCTTTTTTGCCAGAACAAATATCGACTCACTGCAACCCGGCCTCCTTGGCTCAAGCAGTCTTCCGCCTGTCTCCCGAATGGGGTGGGACTGGCAAGTGTGCCTCACCACGTTCGGCTAATTTTGTATTTTTTTGGTAGAGACGGGGTTTCACCATGTTTTTCAGGCTGGTGTCAGACTCCTGGCCTCAAGTGATTATCCCGCCTGCAACCTCCCAAAATGCTGGGATTACAGGCATGAGCACCGCGCCCAACCCCTTTCAATTTTCTTTCTTTTTTTGGAAACAGTCTCACTCTGTTTCCCAGGCTGGAGTGCAGTGGCGCGATCATAGTTAATGGCAGTCTCCACCTCCCAGGCTCAAGCCATTCTCCCACCTCAGCCTGCCCAGTAGCTGGGACTATCCCTGTTTTTCTTCAAGCGGCATTTTTGTATGCTACGGCATGTATCCCCAGGGCCCTAACGGCATGGTGCAGCATCTGCTGCTACAGGGAATATACACACACTGTCTAGTATGTCCATGCTGCATGTATATGTCCATTAGAGAACATGAAATGTTCCCAGGGGCAGCTCTGAAATATGCTGGATTAGAATTATCAGGGAGAGTCTAGGAGTCCATGTTTTTAAAAGCAAATTACCCCTTTTTTGATGTTTAATATGTCAGCGCCCATCATATGATTATCCAGTGTAGTCATGCCTCTGCCTCCTTAAAGCCCTCTAAATAATGAGATCCTGAAACTTCATATAGCCACTTGGCAGCAGATATGTGTATAGATTGGAAGGTCTGGGTTCAAGAGGAGCCTGCCCAGTAGCTGGGACTATCCCTGTTTTTCTTCAGGCTTGACATTTTTTGTATGCTACCGACACTTGTATCCCCAGGGCTAACGGCATGGTGCAGCATCTGCTGCTAAGAGATATACACACACTGTCTAGTATGTCCGTATACATGTATATGTCCATTAAGAGAACATGAAATGTTCCAGGGACGCTCCTGAAATATACTGAGTTAGAATTATCAGGGAGGTCTAGGAGTCCATGTTTTTAAAAGCAAGTGCCTTTTTTTGATGTTTAATATGTCAGCCGCCATCATATGATTATCCAGGTAGTCATGCCTCTGCCTCCTTAAGCCACTCTAAATAATGAGATCTGAAACTTCATATAGCCACTTGGCAGCAGATATGTGTATAGATTGGAAGGTCTGGGTTAAAGGGGACTCTTGTTTATTTATGTATTTATTTTGAGATGGAGCCTCACTCTGTTGCCCTCCCGGTTTCAAGCAATTCTCCTGCCTCAGCCTCCCAAATAGCTGGGACTACAGGTACGTGCCACCACGCCCAGCTAATTTTGTATTTTTAGTAGAAATGGGGTTTCACCATGTTGCCCAGGCTGGTCTCGAACCCCTGGCCTCAGATGATCCACCCACTCCAGCCTCCCAAAGTGCTGGGGTTACAGGTGTGAACCACCACACCCAGCCGGAAGGGGACTCTTAACAGTTTGGCTTAAGGACCCTCCACCTGAGTGCCTGAAAGAAGCTCTTTCATATCTGAATTACTGACAATTATGTTGTCAAACTTAATTAGAAATGGGAATTTAGGCCGGGCGTGGTGACTCATGCCTGTAATCCCAGCACTTTTGGAGGCCAAGGCGGGCGGATCACAAGATCAGGAGATAGAGATAATCCTGGCTAACACGGTGAAACCCCGTCTCAACTAAAAATAGGAAAATCAGCGGGGCGTGATGGCGGGTACCTGTAGTCCCAGCTAGTCGGGAGGCTGAGTCAGGAGAATGGCGTGAACCCGGGAGGCGGAGCTTGCAGTGAGCCGAGATCGCGCCACTGCACTCCAGCCTGGGCGACAGAACCAGACTCCGTCTCAAAAAAAAAAAAAAAAAGGGCGGGTAGTGGGGGGAATTTATTGCACGATATTCTTTTCCATTATTTTTCCTTTCTTTTTTTATTTTACTTTTTTTTATTTAGACGGAGTTTTGCTCCTGTTGCCCAGTCTGGAGTGCAGTGGCCCCATCTCAGCTCACTGCAACCTCCCCGTCTGGAGTTAAAGCGAATCTCCTGCCTCAGCCTCCCAAGTAGCTGGAGTTAACAGGCGCCCACCACCACACCTGGCTAATTTTTTTGTATTTTTAGTAGAGATGGAGTTTCACCATGTTGGCTGGACTAGTATCGAACTCCTGACCTCAGGAGTTCCACATCCCTCAGCTTCCCAAAGTGTTGGGATTGCAGGCATGAACCACTGTGCCCAGCTTGTTTTAATTCTTAATTTTTTTTTTTTTTTCTTAGCTGCAGTCTCACTCTCACCCAGGCTGGAATGCAGTGGCTCCATCTCGGTTCACTGCAACCTGTGGCCTCCGGGGTTCAAGCGATTCTCCTGCCTCAGCCTCCCAAGTAGCTGGGATTACAGGCATGCACCACCACACCCACCTAATTTTTGTATTTTTAGTAGAGACAGGTTTCACCATGTTGGCCAGGCTGGTATGGAACTGGCTGGTTGCAAACTCCTGACCTTGTGATCCTTCCCCCCCCCCCCCCCCCCCGCCTTCTTAGCCTCCCAAAGTGCTGGGGTTACAGGCATGAGCCACCGCGCCCAGCCAATTCTTAAATTCTTGATATTACAGAACTAAAGTGAAACTTATTAATATTCCACTCTTACTTTTTTTTTTTTTTTTTTTTTTTTGAGACGGAGTCTTGCTCTGTTGCCCAGGCTGGAGTGCAGTGGCCAGATCTCAGCTCACTGCAAGCTCCGCCTCCCGGGTTTACGCGGTTCTCCTGCCTCAGCCTCCCGAGTAGCTGGGACTACAGGCGCCCACCACCTCGCCCGGCTAGTTTTTTATGTATTTTTAGTAGAGGCCGGGTTTCACCGTGTTCGCCAGGATGGTCTCGATCTCCTGACCTTGTGATCCGCCCGTCTCAGCCTCCCAAAGTGCTGGGATTACAGGCTTGAGCCACCAGGCCTGGCCTCACTCTTACATTTTTTATCGACAAATAAAATTCATGACCCAAAAAGCCCAAAACAAAACTAAAAACAGGGAAAAGCTTATAAAATTAAATATGGATCCCAGCATTAACAGCTGAATAGAGAATGTGATTTTAAAATTCTTAGCAGATGATGAAGTTGTGTAGAAACTGAACACTTACCAATTATTTAAAACCTGGAATCACCAGAAATTACACAGTCGGATCATGGGAAAACAGCACAAAGGGGTTACTGAGGGAACCTACACTGTTCTAGCTGTGCCCAATACCCTTCTCAGAGGAAAGCCTGGCATTGATTAAATACTGGTCCAAACTAATACTAGCAGCAGAGCCAGTGATGGTACCCTGCCTATCAGAGGACCCTTCCACTGGGTTGGTAGTTTTGATCCGGGCTCCGGACATCTGGCGGATCTCATTAATGTTGGCGCCTTGGGGGCCGATTACGCAGCCAATTAAGTTATTTGGAATGGTAAATTTGTGCGTGGTTTGAGTAGATTTTTTTTTTTTTTTTTTTAGACGGAACCCTGCTTTGTCACCCAGGTTGGAGTGCAATGGTGTGATCTCGGCTCACTGCAACCTCCGCCTCCCAGGTTCAAGCAATTCTGCCTCAGCCTCCCAAATAGCTGGGATTACAGGCGCCCTCCACTACACCCGGCTAATTTTTGTATTTTTGGTAGAGATGGGGTTTCACCATGTTGGCCAGGCTGTTCTTGAATTCCTGACCTCAAGTGATCCGCCTGTCTTGGCCTCCTAAAGTTCTGGGATTACAGGAGTTAGCCACCGCGCCCGGCCATAGTTTGAGTAGATGTAGTCACACTTGCCCAATAGCCTTTCACCTCTGGAGAGCTGGAGTCAATTTGGGTGAATCCGGTCCCACTGTGCATCATGGCAAAGTGAGATTGTTGTCTTGCCACCTGGTTCAGCTTGGCCAGATCAAGCAAAGAAATGGTGTGTTGTCCTTGAACCGAGTAGGCATCTAGAGGTGGTCCCTCCAGGTCATGGGTGGCGTGGGGGTAGCCTGTAGCGTTGCTGCACCAATCTTGGCCACCCACGCAGATGACTGGGGAGTTGGCCGGCATGGGCTGGTATGGAATGGTCATGACTCTCCCTTGGGGAGACTGGGAGAGCGTTTCCAGCATGACCAGGCAGATCTGTTTGACAAACCGATGGTGATGGCCCTCTCGGTGGAGTTGGGCAGTATATCCCCTGCCACCTAGACCTGGGTACCATACTCTTGGGAATCTCTTTGATCTTACACTTGCCTTTCCCAAACCTTTCTCTCTTTTTTAGCTTAGAAAACTACTTATTTATTTACTTGTTTTGAGACAAGGTCTCACTCTGTTGCCCAGGCTGGAGCGCAGTGGCTCCATCATGGCTCACTGCAGGCTCGATCTCCCGGGCTCCAGTGTTCCTCCTGCCTCAGCTAAAAGTGTTGGGATTACAAGTGTGAACCATCAACACCTATTATACAATATTCTGAAAGGTTTGCCGTTCTTGTCCAATCCTTTTTATGACACAGCAGGTCCCTGTGAGTGACTTGTAATTTTGGAAATCACTGAATACATCAGTTTTTAGGTACTGCAAACCCAAGCACCAGGTTTTTGAACCATATTTATAAGAATCAGGGGTATATATCTCAGCACAAATTGACACAAAGGAAAGGGAGTTGACTCCCAGGCAAGGACAAATAGCAGAGTTAGAGATTAACAATGGTGAGTCAGGACCAGGGAGATGGAACCAAGGAAAAGTAAAGCCCAGCAAATGCCCAGACCCAGTACGGCTAAATCTCTTAAGCGTGATC